TTTTCTCTTAGGACAAGTAAATCACTCATGAATGCTCATCATAGAAAGATTAGTCAAGATATAATAATGATATTTTGATGGTCTCATCTATTTAAGCGGGTAATAAGTATTTGTGTATTAAATTATTTAAAAAATTAAAAATAAGGAAAGTTATAGTAAATAAACATGTTTCAATATATATATATTCTCATCTTAATCTACATTTTTATATTCAATTTAATAAAACATACATATCATTCACTCTATCAATATTTAAGAACTTTCCATCAAATTGAAATACGTCAACAAATTTATTTACCATCACATTGATGTAGGTCTAATTTTATTACATTATTTTATAAAATCTAAGAAAAGCAATCGGTTGCTTCATTTTACGAAAATAGCTATAATTGTTTATTTCACTATTTTTTTTTCACATAAAAGTAAGTTTACGTATGAAAATTAATTAAAAATTAAATGAAGAGTAAGAATAATTAAAAAAAATTGATATTGTATTGAACTTTAAAAAATCAAAACATTTTTTTAAAAAACAATTGACTATTAAAAAGGAGAAGAAAGTCTTAACTAATGTTCCATTAATAACCATTTAGTGTTTTACCTTACCAAGTAATTACAATCTTAACATTGGGTTTAAATTTTACATCAATTACATATCATTAATTTATTTATTTTAGTTTGATAATTTAAAAATACATCTTACGAAAACACATTTTAAAAATAATTTTAAATATATAATTAAATTTAGCACAATTTATTTAAAGTAATAATGACATATACAAACTAATAAAAAATATAAAAGATTATAACATATTAAAAGAAAGGTTTAATTATTTAGAACATCCCTATTTCTCGTGGATTTTCTCAATTATGTCTTCGTAGTGTTTTTTTTCTCAATTAGGTCCCTAAATATGTAAAATTAGATCAATTTAGACCTTGCCGTTAATTTAGGTGAATGGCGTTTAAAATTGTTGTAACGTGGCAGGGTGAAATTAACAAGTTTTACTGACGTGGCATTACTGACGTGGCAGAGTATGGTGCACTGAGTTGGATAACTTCCATTGAATTACTGAATCATTCAAAACGCAACGTTTTGAAATTTGGGAAATTAATTGGGATTTCAATAAATCCCTAAATTGGAACACTGAAATCCTTAATTTAAATGTGTGCCTGAGGAGAGCGAGGTTGATGTTGGACGTTGTTTAGTTTATTGTTGGAGGGTGTTTTTGTGCGACGTAGGTGGGTGCTGAACGAACTTGTTCTAAGACGATGTCCAAGGATCATTCATGGTGTTCGTCGAGCTGCAATGTGTGGCGGAAGGAGAACCCTAATGTGTGTTCACCAATTTGTCATTCTGGAGAAAGATGTGCGTTGAGAACTGCTAAAACTATGAAGAATTGTGGGAAGCAATTTTGGGGATGCTCGAAGTATAAGGTATGATCGATTTCAGCTATGTATTATGTGGAACTGTTTCTGAGAATAGATTGTTGTGTTTACAGAGTGGTACTAAAGACATTGGTTGCTCCTTCTTCAAATGCTGCAGTGATGTTGCGGAACACGAAATGGGGATGTGCTTGAAGTGTGAAGAAAAACAAACAAAGTTTGCTGAACAATGAAGAAATGGATAGTATTAGGAAAATGTTAGTTAAGTTACAGAAATATGTCTTCATTGTTGAAAAATGGATGAAGGTGTTCATCATTTTGGTTTGTGTTTTATGTGTAATAAACACGATTTTAGTTTCAATGATGATGAGAATGGGATGATGTCTTTGAATGATGTACCTTTATTCCATTTTAATGAAAATGAGAGTTGTTTGATGTGTTTGAGCAAGAAATTGAATTCTGGTTATGATTAAAGAGAGTTGTGTTTGAGTAGGAATTTGATATGACTAAAGAGAGTTGTGTTTGAGTAAGAATCTGATATGTTCGCATGGCTTTAGATACCTTGTTTCACTTTACAAATTGAACTTAAAAAAGTCACCAATACGCAATTGTGATTTGTCAGGCTTTAGATTTAGTCATTTTCATATTTGGTTTCCTGTTTCTCATATTTGTCATTTGTCATTACTGTCCTTTTGGTTCCCTGTTTGTGAAATAAAACTATAAGCAGTAGACTTCACTCACTTTCATATTGGTTAATCACTCACTTTCATATTGGTTAATCACTCACTTTTGGTTTCCTATTTCTGAAATAAATCATTGTCATAAGTTGTACATAGTCACAATCTGTACATAAATGGTTAATAACAAGTGAGACATAAATAGTCATTGTCATAAGCAACAAGAAAGATTCAATATGCAATGAATCCAAAATATTTCATGGCACAAGCCAGAGTTTGCACTTGTTCAGAGGATATAATAAGCAGTGATAAATGGGCACAAACATTGTCTAAAGATTAACAAAGTGTTGAGTTATACAAAATTATCTCACACGCATCAAAATGTTGGTCATAGGACTTAAATAATTGTCTAAACATTACAATTCATCATTTATCCCCTTGACCTACAACTTCATCCTGATTTGATGATGGCATCATTGGTTGAGTTGATGGGTTAGTATCTTGTGTTTGGAGAGAGTTCACATCACGTGTCTGGGTTGCTTTGGTGCAAGAGGTTCTGTTGTGGCCCAAGTCCTTACAAATGCCACATCTTTTCTTTAAACCACCCTTCCTCATTCTTTTGTCGTCCTTGACCAACTCCCATTGCTCCAACCTTCGCTTCTTCTTTGGTCTCCCAGGCAATATTCTTTTTGGTGGAGGGAGGACATCAACATATGGGGTAATCTCTCACATCTTGTTACCATTTATTTGATGCACAATTGAAGAGTAGATTTGTTCATACGTTGACTTCCTAAAGCAACATGGTATGAAGTCCTCTGCATCTAGATTTAGGAATTTCATAGCAGCCAAGGAGTGGCAACATGGTACGCCAGTTATAGCGCACTTCCTGCATGTACACAAATTTTTATCTAAATTCACTACAAACTTGTCCCCAACTTGGGACACATAGCGAACTTCAAAAACCTTGTTTGCTGACCAACTGTAAAGTAAAAAGAAGGAAATTAATAAAGTATAAAAAGTTCACATACTAACACAAATGATAAAGAAAATTTAGTAAAGGTTACCTCGAAATCCATTGTTTAGTTAACTGAGACTCCTTGTTTAGCCTACTCTTGATTTTAGGACAAATGTCCCCAGACAATGATTGTATTTTACTCCTGTTAGTTGCCCATCTCTTCATCAAGTAAAGGCGGATGTCCTCCAACATGCTTATGATTGGCTTAGACCTTGTATGCACCAAAACACTTTGAAAGCCTCTGACATGTTGTTGACCAAAGTATCACATTGGGGTGTGCTGCTAAATCTTGATCTTAACCAGTATCTACATTGTTTAAGTATAATGAACATGTAAGTCTGCCAGTATTAACCCAAGTCACATAACCATGTTCAAATATTAAAGAAAAGAAGTATAAATACAAACCTAGGAGGAATTTTTAACAAGTATTTGAAAGCCTCATCATTGAGTTGTTTTATATTTCTCATTTCTGATTCCCATGTTTGTGGATGGGTTGTTGATGCTACCTTCCACATCAAACGCTCGAGATGTTTTGCAGGGAATTTTTTTCTGAAATTTGCGTATAGGTGCCTAACACAGAAACGTTGATCAACTCCATGAACCACTTCTTGTACAGCTTGCAGTAGTCCCTGTTTAATCAGAATAATGACAGTGTTGTTAGAAATATTATTTGAATAAGAATGTTAATGAACATAATGGGGAAAAGGTCATGTGCATTACCTTTTGCTGGTCCGACATGAATGTAAATGATGAACTGATTGCCTCCCCACCAAGATCTTCAACCAGAAGTTCAAGGAACCATTTCCAAGTATCCTTGTTCTCTACTTCCACCACGGCATACGCAAGAGGTAACATTTGATCATTTGCATCTCTACCAACAACAATTAATAATTCACCACCATATTTTTCTTTCAAAATAGCACCATCTAGCCCAATAATTGGCCTGTAGGACACAAAATTATCCTTGCAGGCCTTCAAACAAGTATAAAACCTTTTAAATGAGGGTCCACTGCCAGTATCTTCAACTTTGACTTTCACTGTGGATCCTTCATTACGACCTAGGAGCTCATTCGCATAATCATAAATCATTTTATATTGGTCTTTGAAAGACCCATCAACATTGTCTGAAGCAATGGCCTTTGCCTTATAAGCCATGCATCTAGATACACTTACATTTCATTTTCTATTTATCTTCTCACGAATTTCCACTCCCTTTACTTTGGGATTTTCTCTAACAGTTTTTTCCAACCTCTTACTAAGCCATTTTGAATTAAGTAATCTTACTTTGTGATCTCTACTACAGCTGTGGTTGTCAACAATAGTCCTTAGTTGCCAAGTTTTAATGGCTTCCATATAAGCACAATATGCCATCCAAGGGCATGCTCCTTTACCACCTATACATTTTACCCTAATTCTCTTCTTATCATTTTTAACACATGTAATATTTCTGCCATTTTGTACTGCATACGTTTTTATGGCATCCACAAAGTCTTGCTTCTCAGCAAAATAAGTGTCCAGATCCCATTTATAATTTACCATTATCTTAGGCATAGAGAATGTTACGAACTTCCCATAACCCTCCTCTTCATCATCTTCACCATCACTTTCTACTCCACTGTCTAATTCATCGGATTCCCATTCATCATCAGACAAACCTTTATCATCATCACTATTTATTCCATCATCAACATCACTATCCGACAATTGAGTCCATGATGGTCCATCACATTGAACATCAACTTCAACATTACCAACTCCATCTCATACCTCCTCTTCTATATCACAGTCAACATTTACATCAACCACATCAACTTGAACATTACCAACTCCATCTCCTACCTCCTCTTCTATATCACAATCAACATTTACATCAACCAGACCTTCCATACAATCATAATTAACCTCATCATTGGCATCATCATTAACATCCTCACCAATAGAAGTCTAACTACGACCATCAACACCATCATCATTAACATCCCCTTCACACTCAATTTGACCTTCAGCAACATGATCACCCTCATATTTTTCTTCTGAAACAACAACAGTTTCAGTCATACCATCACATTGACCTATCTCACTTTCATTGGCAAACACCTCACATTGTCTTTCACGATCCTTTTGACATTCACCCCCAATATCCTGTTGACATTTAGCCTGAACAGTTTCTACTTCAGTTGTATTCTGAGTAACATATTCTAACATATGTATGACCTCAGGTTCAGAAACTGTGTGAACAACAAAAAGATGCACCTCACCATTAAGCCTAGCTAAGGTAATCATGTGCATGGCTCCTATGTCATCCAACAAATGCTCCAACCTATTTTCTAACACAGAACCACCACCTACGCAGTACCACAACTCCTTAAACCCCTCATAACCTAGCCCTTTCACTACACTCACTACAAGGAAATAGCTCCACATGTCTGGGTCAAACGACAAAGTTGTACTCTCGCCCTCATAGTTAAGTTTCCCTTCATTTATGAACTTTCCACCGTGGTGGAAAACAACTTGGAAATTTTCCTCCATGACGTACAAAATAAAATTATATTTAACCTATAAAGTAATAAAAAATGGAGGACAACAATGTTTAGTAAGAATATATGCAAACCACAACCCACTAAAAAAGATAATTCAACAACACTTTAATATCAGGGGACCACATTGCACTCAAAATTGAAACAAGATAGACCATTCAACATTGTGGGACAACCATAAAAGGAAAACATCATCAAACAATTCAATGAAAAACGCATTTACTAATCTGAACACGTGATTCACCTCACACACTTTCGGCACTGCCTTCTGATAATAGTTGAGAAACTGTTATTTTCATGCTTAAAATTGATACTAAAAGCAACCTTTAACACTTAGAAACTAGCTTGGAATCATGCTTTTGTTCATATTTTTGGAAATAAGAGAGCTGGAAAGGTTTATGCTTGAATTAAGTGTTTTATGCAGGTTTTAAGGTGAATTTGGTGAAAGAAGTGAAGAAGGATAGATATGGAATCAGAAAAGAACTCAAAAAGTGCAAAATGAGAAGTCGCAACTACTGCTCAGCGGTAGTTTACCGCTGTGCGACACTCAGGAAATCAGGATGGCTCCGCTGAGGGGTGAAAATGCCGCTGAGGGGAAGAATCAACTCACGCACTTACCGCTGAGCGGCACTATTTTGCGCTTGGGCCTAATTTTCTGTATATTTTAGAATAGTATATAAGCTTTAGGATGTCCTAGGGTTTGTATCTTTGGCTGCAGACGAAGCAAACACTCTCTTTTCCACCCCCTAGAGGAAGATCTTGGATGCTCAAGCTACCTACTCCTCTTTCTAGGGTTCTATCTTTCATTCTTTCATTATTGTTCATCTAGTTTCACCATGAATATGGTGAACTAAACCTTGTATTGTTGTTGGGGAATCAATGTAATCTTGTGAAACTCTCATATATGGAATTTGTGTTTAAACATCTTACTTGAGATATATGCTTTCTTTCATCATTAGTTAGGGTTTTTCCTCTTTGCTCAAAGCATGCATTGTTTAACTCATTCGATGCCATGATTATTGATTTTGTCGATATGGGAACGTACGGGGAAATCTAGATCCGGGGAAAATCTCCCAATAGCATATTGGTTGCCTTTAAGCTTCTGTGCTTCAGAATTAATTATTAGGGATGCTAGGAATTGTATGAAGTCGTAATTAAGGATGAATCTTCTTGCAAGGTGATTTAGAGAGTGGCATTAGCATTGATGAATAGAATGATGAATTCCTAAAAGTATATGAGAGTGGATAAGATGAAATTGATAACCCCAACAACATACTCATCCATCTAATTCATTAAAGTGTTTGTATTCCTCTTTTCCATTGATCAAATTCATGCATACATGTTTAATTATTGTCTTTTGCATTTAAAACCTAAAATCAATTGTTCACAAGTCTTAAATAATCAACAAATCATATAGCTAACTATACCGTGTGTCCTTTGGGAGAAAGATACTTGGTCTTACCGAGTTTTATTACTTGATACGATTCGGTCACACTTGTCGAGGGTTAAACAAGTTTGTGGCGCCGTTTTTCGGTGTTCATAAATTTGTCATCACCTTCCACGTGATTTACCGCTAAGAGCTTCCTGATTTCACCAATTTAGAACCGATAGATCACTCCAAAATCTTCACTGATTTCACCAATTTAGAACCGATAGATCACTCCAAAATCTTCACACGAAGCCTACTTTCTCACCACGTATACGAATTTTCGCACCCAGTCAACAATTTCTTGCCTCGATAAAACCCTACTTTGCCCAAAATCCCAATTTTGCACCCACCCACAATGAAATTAAAATTCTCTTTCCTCTAATAAGTTATCACTCAATTAACGTCCTCACTCAATCAAACGTTGTGTTTCATTCATTTTATGTTTTTTAATTTAAACGTTGCGTTTTCAATGATTCAATAATTTTATTTCAATAAAATTTAATATGTCATGGAAGTTATCCAACTCAGTACACCATACTCTGTCACGTTAGTAAAACTTGTTAATTTCACCCTGCCACGTACAACAATTTTAAACGCCGTTCACCCAAATTAATGGCAAGGTCTAAATTGATCTAATTTTTCATAGTGAGGAACTTAATTGAGAGAAAAAACACTACGAGGTCCTAATTGAGAAAATCCACCAGAAATAGGGATGTTCTAAATGATTAAATCTTTAAAAAAAATGTACGAGAAATAAGAAATCATACATATTTATTTATTTCTTAAAGTGTACCAAGTATATATGAATATGATATACTTGATGATAAGTGAAACATAGACTTAAAATTAATAAAAATAAAAATTGAAAGTCAATTAAGGACACTTGGGTGTTCCTGACTTAGTTTTCCAGTTATTATAGCATGGACATTCTTCCTTGTTACCATATGTACCTGATGGAACACATAAACATTTCTCACAACACATGTTACAAAAAAACAAACATGCCTTTCGAACCCTAGTCTTTGAACAACGATAGTCACATGCTTCAGGACACCCTGAAATAATACATATAACCATTATGATAATATATTAAAATTGAAATTAAAAAACAAATATAAAATACAATTTTTTAACAAACACACCATTAAAATTATTCAAATTTATGAAGCACTTAAAATTTAATTAAGCGTGATAATTTTCAAATATATAGAAATAATACCTTGAACTGTAAGAGATCGTTCACCACCAGCCTAAACATGTAGAAGAACAAAAACTTTAGTATTGAAGAAGGCAATTGAAACTATCATATACTTAGCATCTTAAGCTTGTTCAAATGAATCTAGATAAATAAGAAAAAATGTAAATAATAAAGATGTAAGAAAAAACATGTGTAGGAGAGAAGAGACTCACATAAGCAAGTTGAGTTACAAAAGCCATAAGAAAGATGAGAAGAAATGCACACACAAATTTAGTCATGACGTTAATTACTTTCTCGATTTCTATAATGTTTCTTCTTTTTGGAGTGGAGCAAAGATTAAATGTGGAAAAGCTATGGAAGTGAAGGATTTATATATAGATACAAGAAATTACCGAGTAATTTCAAATAGATATTTTTATCAAAGAGTTTGGAAGACCAATAAAATAATTTGGATTGACACACCAAAAAAAATCTATATATAAAACAAAGTATGTTTTTTTTTTATTTTTAATTTAGATACAATCTTATATAATTAACCATTTGTGCATATTACTGTAACATCCCGGAAATATACAGTCATCAACTATATACTTAGAATAATCACATTAATCAATATGGCAAAACAGTTTAATAATACAGTAAGCAGATTGAATAAATGGCCGAACGGCCTTTCATTTAAAACAACGAGCGTTTACAAAACAAGGAGGACGAACGGTTTACAAGAATTGACCGAACGTTCCAATATATATATACAGCAACAAAAGAGCGCTCGCTCACAGACGCTCGCTACTCTAATCAAACTAACTAAATAACCGAACGCCTCACTGTTCGGCCTTCACCTCAACTTCTACTAAATTTTCTTCAGTAACGAGTTCCTCTTCAAGAGTTTGCTCCAGAGACGCATCTCCCTCTGCTCACATCCACACGGATGATCATTGCATTTGACAAGACGGATATACATAGACAAGACAACACGAAGGAAATGCAAGGGTAAGCTTATTGAATTTAATT